AGTGGGTTGTACTAAATTTAAGTAGAAGATGTTTGGATGTGCTTGAAAACAGCCTTTTAGATTCTTTTTTGATATTGTCATATTCTCTAGATTTGTTAAAGATTATTTCCCCCCTAACTTGATTGCATAATTAAAATAGTTTCTTTTTTGTTACGATCAAGAACGGATCCAGAACCTGATGTAGCCTGGCCCCATTTCCGCCGCCTCCCTGGTTACTATCACTTGTAACTCTATAAGTAATGTCATTTCAATTGTAATACTTACACGCAAAATAATTACACAAGTTCCATTATTCTTCGGTAAATTCTGTCTGAAATAGGGGTGGCAAACAGCCGAGCCGAGCCGGCTCGGCTCGTTGCCCACGAGCTCGAGCTCGTGGCTCGTTATAAGCAGCTAATAGCTGTTTTAATAATGATGTCTTTTCAAAGATAAGATGCAAACTCAATAAAATAAGAGTAATCAGGTCCATTATCTGTTAAGAATTTAAATTAGGGATAAGGTATTATCCCTAATTTTCACTTTAATTCTCTCTCGCGCCAAAAAGCCCAATATGTAAACAAAACTAATGGGCTCAGCCCAGTTAACCTCAAAAAATCTTTTCATTATCCCCTTCTCTTTCGAACCAAAGCAACGCTCTCTCACGAACACACAGTTGAAAATGGCTTGTGCAACAGCAGCGGTATCTTTGCAATTCTCATCTTCACTTATCAATAATGAAGCCAAACTATCTTCTTCCTATGCTCCTCTCATGGGAACCCCACTTACCTCACACCACTCCTCTTCTCTCTCCAGTACGTGAATTTTTTGTATGCTAATTTGTTTGTAGTATATATGCATGTGTATCTTGAATCTTAATTTTTCCTACTATGATTTCATTTGAACTGATTATGGGTTTTATTGGTCATGGAAAATCTTGGCTCGGAGCCTTTTTAACTTCATTTTCTTATAGATTTTGGGCTCATAAGTAATACGTTACTCTTATATTCTATTCTATTCTATTCTTTGTTCATACTTATATAATTGCCCACCTAAAATTAGAGTTCTTAACACCTTGGATTTTCCCTGCTTATCAAAGTGAGTTTTGGTCCACGTGCTTTGGTTGCTTAGCTTCTTGGAATTGAATGGGTTAATTTTCTTGTAAATATCTTGAAGAATTAGATAAAGGATCAAACTTTACAAGGCAGCTTGTCATTTATGCGAAAAGGGTATCAGGTTTGGAGGAGGCCATCAGAATCAGAAGGTACCGTCTGCTTATAAAGGCCTTTACTTTAGTAGCATTTAGTTTATTCCTGAATTTAATTATTAGTTGTTTTGGAATCTTAATGTAGCTAAATGCAGATGGGTTTTCCAGTGATAGTTGTCTGAAAAGCATGTTAAGTTATAGCAGATTAGAAGCAAGTCTTGGGCTGTGAGTGTGATATTTGATAGTTTTGAAGAAGAAATATTTTAGAATGGTCTTTTCGTGTTGCTAAATTGCACAACCATGTTGGATCGATTTAAAATGAACTGTTTTTTAAGTTTCTGAAATTACATTAATGAATATCCCTGAAAAATTTAGTCCTTTTGAATGATATCGAATGTTGCTACCATCTCCTTTATCCCTTTTGATTTCTTAATTTTCAGGTTATCATAATTTTATTTTGTTTTCTTGTAATATCGACTACTTTTACTTTCAAATGGCTGAATGCATAGCAATGTAAGATTTCAGAATTCTGGATTTTTTTGTGCTTATTAGCTCCCTTAAGTGTAATTGTTATATCGTATAATGGCCGTCGCCACTAATAAACGTTGGATGGATATACTGTATATGATATGTTGATTATCATTGCTAGCTGCATTGCTTGTGTTAGTATTGATTGTCCTGAACATTGAGGTGATTCTAGTTTCTTTATTGAATACTTTTAATTTACCATTATCTATTGACACAGGGAACGTGAGCTTCGAACTTCAACAGCATCTAGAAGAAGGCCTCCCTTGAGACGTGGAAAGGTATCACAGCAGCTTCCTGTGCCTGATCATATACAACAACCTCCTTATGTAAGCTCAAAGTTATTGCCCGAAATCTCAAGTGAACATCAAATTCATGATTCTGAAGGAATCGCTCGCATGAGGGCTGCTTGCGAGCTTGCTGCTCGGGTGGTAGACTATGCTGGAACACTTGTTAGGGTGAGAATTTATGGTACTTTTTTATATTTTACTGCAAGGACTTGATGCTCCAGTGGCATGCCAATACTTTTATTGTTATTGCTCTTCAATCTAATCATTATAATTTATATTCATCAGTCATCAGTTTCAATTTGTTGCCATGGATAGTTCATTTTATCTTATACCTATTAACAGCAAATTTATATTTGAGTAAACAATTTTTTATGTAGACCTGCTGACTAAGCCTGTATTTGCCTGTCGAGAAAAAAAGACTGCTTTGAGTGAATGTATTATCCTTAAAAGCAGTTCAAAATTCTGTTATGCTTCTTATACAATGGCTAACTCTTTGGTATATCATAAGCATGAAATCTTTGGTAAACACTTGTTTTTAACTGCGATGGAACTGCTACAAGTGCTGTGGTATATGAGATCTAAAATTGAAATATTAAGAAACTGCCTCTACATAAAGAGTGCCAATCAAGTGACAATCTTCAGAATGATTTGCAATAAACCAAGAAGGAAAGAGTGAAACATGAAAATATTCACGTGCTAGCTAAAGATGCATTGTTGAAAATAAATTGTGTGAGAAGTTTTAGGCGACTCCACCAAGGACGTTAGATCTACCCATTAGGAAAAGTAATGTTACTAATGTATCATTGGCAAAACCTAGTGGAAGAGGTTGACCTCAAGTCGCATGAAATGAGACAATTAGAAAGTATTAGGTTGCTTGGCTTGCAATTTTCTTCTCCTTTGAGAAATTAGTTTCGGCCTTTCAGGCGAGTGGGATGTGGGGGTTTTGGGGGGGGGGGGAGGCGGGCTCAGCTCTCAAAAGTTCCCAGTCTTGTGTGTATATAATGGATAAATATTTGTTCGAGCCTGCTTATCCCCCCAGGGCACTAGATGTTCCAAGAAATCAATTCCAACCCCCTCCTGGAGTTCTTTCTATTAATACAAATCCAACATCTTAAGACCAATCCTTGACCTCGATCGAATCCCCCAAGCTCACTCGAAAGCCCTTTTTCGCTCTATTCTATAAATGCTTTCGTCTTGGATAAATGTGTATTGAATTGCTTAAGAATGCGTATAAGTACGATATCCGTCATTGCACGTTTCCTAGGTCTAAAACTAAGCAAGGGAAGAGAAGAATTATTTTTGAGAAATTAACTAAGGGAAAATGGGTACTTTATTGCAATAACCACGTGGATCCATTTCTCAACTGAAACTGGAGATTTGGTGTCACACCCCCAAATTTTATATGCATATAAATGAGAAATTCATGAAGAAATCTCATACATATGCTTATTGCTCTACTTGTACTTGGGTTGTGGGGGAAAATTTCCCCTTTTTTTCCACAATGTATAATTATTTGCGCATCTTCTATATTCAAATCATGAGAATGTATTCATAATACAACAAAAAAAATCATGTCTCCTGGAGGGACTCTTCTGTGTTTATACCACCATCTAAGTCCCTTGGAGGCTGGGGTCCGACCTGCAGAACCATATAACACGAGCTACATGATATAGGCTGAACAAGTAAAGATTATGCATACTTGTGAATGAAATCGAAAATCACGTGTTTCTCAAAAATATCATCATGCTGAAAAATCATCATCCTTATTCTCATTCTTTTTGCAGATATTGTGCCCAATTATGATTATGAAAATCATATATTCAGCCCATTTCCCAATTGCTATCATCATCACGTACACATTATAAACTAGAATTTGGTGTCAATCATCTCATCACATCAAAACACCAAATCACGATCCTATGGTTCATCCCAAAGAATCATACTGCGTCGTCAATCATAGCACGTCATTATATGTGGTAGCAAAAGGTAAAAACATTATCTCATTAAGATTCAGTTCTCATTTCTTTATCAAGAAATACACTCTCATCATCAGAAATTATTCCATGCTTGGGTTTTCATTTCACTATAAAACACGCACCATAAAAGTAGGTCGAGTTGGAGTTCAAATGAGGTATCAAGTGGTTATATATATGAAGAAACAGTAGAGACGGAGATAGCTGGTATATTTGTTTCGTATCATAGGTGTCAAAATCTCATCATTGTAAAATATGTATGAACTTATTTTATTCATTTCTCTTCATAATGTAAATAGGTCTGTACCTCAAAATTCTTAAATTGTTAAACATTTCTCATTCATTTCTTGGTTAAATTTACATATAAAAACCTTAAAGCCAGTGTCGGGGCCATAAACCCCAAGGCCTATGGCTGAACAAAAATCATGTAGGCATGCATACTTTTGTCCATGGTATAAATACTATGTGATTAGATGGCTGAAGGAAGGAGATAAAAATTCCAAGTTTTTCCATGCTTGGGTAAGGAAAAAAAGGGCCAAAAGCAACATTAATCTTATTTCCAGTATTGGGATTGAATTGAAGGAACCTAGGGAAATTCAAAGTTCAGCTGTAGAGTACTTTGAAAAGATCCTTACCAGAGAACCTACCGGAGGCAGTGATATTTTACTGGATAACATTCCACAATTGGTGATTCCTTCTGATAATGATTTGCTTAATAGGGCACCCGATATTGATGAGATTAAAGAGGCAGTTTTCAGTATCAATAAAGACAGTGCAGCTGGCCTGATGGTTTCTCTAGCATTTTCTATCAATTTAGTTGGGATATCATCAAGCTTGACCTGTTAGATGCGGTTCTGGATTTCTTTAAGGGTAGAATTATACCCTTAGGTATTACCTCTACCTTTATTACTCTTATCCCCAAAAAAATTGAGGCTATGGAGTGGAAGGATTATAGACCTATTAGCTTGTGTAATGTGGTCAATAAAATTCTGACTAAGATTTTATCAGTTAGACTCAACAAAGTGTTACCTAAAATTATCTCCACTTCACAAAATGTTTTCACCCCAGGAAGGGATATAGGAGATAATATCCTCCTAGTTCAGGAGCTCATTCAGAATATTGACAGGAAGACTAGGGGTGGTAATGTGGTTCTAAAACTGGATATGGCTAAGGCTTATGACAGGGTGGATTGAGAATTCCTCTTTAAGGTTATGGAGAAGTTTGGATTTAACCAAATATGGATTGAAAAAATCAAACGATGCATTAATAACTGTAGCTTTTGTGTCCTGAGTAATGGAGAGCTTAAATGTTATTTTAAATCCTCTAGAGGGCTGAGGCAAGGAGATCCCATTTCCCCTTTTCTATTCATCGTTTTTGGCTGAGTGTCTGTCTAGAGGGCTGGACAATCTTTTTTTGAGAAACAATGAGCTACATTTCAGATATGGAGGTGGCATCCTTGTATCACATTTGGCATTTGCTAATGATATTGTTATTTTTACCAATGGCCAAAAACCTTCATTGTATAAAATAATGAACTTTCTCAGAATATACACTGATAATTCAGGGCAGGCTATTAATTGCAATAAAAGTTCATTTACTACTAGAAAGGAAATCCACATACGAGTGATTGCTGAGAATATAGGCTTCCAATACCAACCTCTACCTGTGGTTTATCTTGGAGTTCATTGAACATAAAGGGCATAAGAAAGCTGCTTTGTTTGAGAATTTACTTAGCAAAATTAAAAGAGGAATTCTGGGTTGGGAGCACAGATGGTTGTCTGCGGGGGGAAGGCTTACTCTCATTAAACATGTGTTGAGCTCAATGCCGATTCATCTTTTGCAAGTCCTTGATCCACCCAAATGCATTATCACCAAGATTTCAAGGTTGTTTAACAGCTTCATCTGGGGGGATACTAGCCAGGGAAAGAAAATTCATTGGGCCTCCTGGGATGATGTCTGTTATCCTGTTGAAGAAGGGGGTATTGGTTGTCACTCACTTTCTGATCTGAACATAGCTTTTGATTGCAAATTATGGTGGAAGTTTAGGGAACAAAAATCCCTTTGGAGTCAGGTTTTACAAGCTAAGTATTGTAGGTTCAGCTATGCCAGCGTGGTTAATCCCAGCTCCCAAGATTCTGGGATTTGGAGAAGAATGATCAAAGCCAGAAAAATTGTTGAACCACACATTGCTTGGAGAATTGGAGAGGGCAAAGTCAACTTTAAACATGATGCTTGGCTGAAATCTGGTGTTATTCAAGGGAGATTGAAACAGAACATTACTCATGATAAGTTGGTTTTGGATTTTAGGAAATATTGATGCATGGAACACTTCCATCTTTGAACTCCATTTTACCAGTTGATGTGGTCAATGAAATACTGCAGATCCCTGTTACCAAGATACCTGATAAAATGTTTTGGAAACCCAATTCTTCTGGAGTTTTTACCATATCTTCCTGTGTCCATATTTTCAGGCAGAGTAAAACTAATCAGATGGCGTATAAACATATCTGGGATAAGAGCATCCTCAGAAAATTGCTTTTTTAGGTTGGAGACTGTGGCATAATTGGTTACCGGTTGATAATCTTATCCAAAAAAACTTCGGTATACAATTAGTATCCAAGTGCCAATGTTGCTGCAACTCTGAAAACATTAATCATGTATTTTTGGATGGAAGAATTGCTAAGGAAGTCTGGTCAGATTTCAGCAGAGCCTTGAATGTTCAAGAGATTAGGTGTGGAAACCCAAGGACTATGCTTATGCATTGGTTTCTGCAGAGGAAAGCACAACCTGGTGAGATCAGAAATGTGGTTCCACTAGCAATTATCTGGTTCCTTTGGATGGCCATAAACAAAGCTAAACACGAGCATTACATTATAAGGGCTGATAGGATTATCAAGCAAATTTACATACTGATTAATGCCCTTCTAAGGGCAGGCAGGATCAGGCAAAATGGGAGGTGCAAGTACAGCAAACCCACAGCAGTCAAGTGGATTAAACCTGCTGGTTGGTTTAAATTAAATACGGATGGGGCCTTGAAATCCAATTCTCTGGCTGCAGGCGGAGGGCTGCTGAGGAACAACCTGGGAATCCAGTATGGGGCTTTTATGACTTTTATGGTGAATGCTCGATCCTGGAAGCTGAACTTAGAGCTATTGAAACTGGGCTGCGTTTGTGCTGGACACAGGGATATAGGAAAATCTGGGTTGAAACCGATTTTAAGACGTCTCTAACATTGATCAACCAAAGTAATGGCCCTTGGGGAGTTCAATATACCTACAGTCCATTAGATGGCTGTTGGAGAGAATGGACTAGAAACTCACTCACATTTGGAGGGAAGGTAACCAAGCCGCTGACTGGTTTGCATCCAAAGGCTGTTGTAATAAAAAGTTTGAATTGGTTGAAGCTAATGAGTTCAGGGGTAGAATCATTGGGATTGTGAAGCTTGATAGAATAGGTTTGGAGACTATTAGACTTGTTGCATAGTTTAGGCTTCTGGTTATTCTGGCTTTTTGAGTTTTTTTTGTGCATGATTTGTTATTCATACATAGATCTAGGAGTTGTTTGAGTTTTTTTCTTCTTTGGAGGTAAGGCACTTATGTCCCCCTCTTTGCATTGTATTTGATTTTTTCTTTAATAAAAGGCATATCCTACGGCTTGGATTTTCAAGCTAGGATATTTTACAAAAAAAAAAAAAAATGTGATTAGATGGCCAAATAATTGATATTCTCCATGGGATTACTACTTGTTTCTGCACTGGTGCTAATTTCTTTTTCCCTCCCTTTACTTGTGAAATTATGCTTCCATCTTGTACCTTGTAAAAATTTAATTGATTTTTGATAATTGAATGCCAATATTTCTACATTATCTGTGAATTAAAGCAACATCATTTTTCTTTCCCTCAAAATTTTACAAAAAATTCCGCGCCGTGTCAAATATTATTTATTTGCTATTTGATAACTTGTTACATGGAATTTCCTAACCCGCTTTTCACTCTCATCTCAGCCATCAATAACGACGAATGAAATCGATATAGCTGTGCACCAAATGATCGTAGATGCTGGTGCTTATCCGTCGCCTCTAGGCTATGGGGGTTTTCCAAAAAGTGTTTGCACATCAGTTAATGAGTGTATGTGCCATGGGATACCGGATTCTCGCCAACTACAGGTCTTGTATGTTGTATCATTGGCAATCTCTGCTGAGTTCAATTAACTTCCTGCATTTTAATATGATTGTTTGGCATGCAGGATGGCGATATAATAAACATTGATGTGACAGTTTACTTAAATGTAAGTTGTTGATCACTAAGTTTGTTCTTTCTCTGTTTTATAAATTGATTTACAATAAACTATTAATTATTTTCCTTAGCTAGTCAAAATGTTTATAAAAATCGAAATATCAATGATCTTAGAGAATAACTGGATTTCTGATTGTTGTTTAACATGTACCTTGCTTCCAAGTACTGAAGAATCTACCATTTCAATATTGTATTGGCTTTACTGTTTGCTGAAATATGTCTTCATCCCGTGACTTGTGGACTGGTCCACAAATTTGAAATTTTTCTAGCAGGAGTGATTGTTCGAGTATAAGAAATGAACAAATTGACCTGGGGTGTTTTTTACAACTTTGTAGCAAACTGACAAACAATATAGCTTTAGCCTCTTTGGGAGATTTTGGTTCGAACTTTAGCTTTTGAGGTAGAGAACTTCAAGAAAAGACGACAAACTGTGTCAAAGAAGATAAGTAACTGGAAAATGTAATAGCAAGACTGTAAGAGAATGTTAAATGTGGACAAGGAAAGTGAGCCTTCCTTGGGCAAGATGATGACTGAAACTGGCGGGCGATAACCATTTTTACAATTAAAATAATAATTTATTTATAATTCACTGTACATGGATATGCACCTTTTCGCGTGCCTGTCTTTTCTTTTAGATGGGTATAAAATTTTAAAATATAGTTATTCACCAATTTAGTTTGCAGTAACTTGGAATATCTTAATTTTCTCCAATGAATATATCTCATTTCAAATATTAAATAGAGTTAATGTCATACATGTTGATGCAGAAAGAATAAGATTTTAAATGCTTTTGTTAACAACACCCATTTACTCTTTAAATTCATTCCCTCTGAATTTCCTATAAAGTTTAGATTGACGTTTTGCTGTTGACATGTTTGTTATCTGTGTCAGGGTTATCATGGAGACACATCTAAGACTTTTCTTTGCGGCAATGTGAATGATGCAATGAAACGTCTTGTAAAGGTAGATTTAGCTTTTACTTGTAGAAAGAAAGAAAAAAATATAATTTTATTCGTTCGTCACATAGTTTTAGATAATGAGACTCAGAAATGATAGATTGAAGTTAGAATTTTGAAGCAATTTGACTCAAAAATGTTTTACATTACGTAGAACTAGGTTAGAATAAATAGAATGTGCTTATAGTAGGAATAAGGATAATAGTAAGAGTAATTTTTCAGGTATTGAGGTTCGGTTATTAATAATGAGCGCAAATTTAAATGGATGCAATGCATAAGATCAGAGCCAGTTGAACAAAATGGAGAATTATTATAGAGATTCTATATGATCGGAATATACTTTTACAAGTTAAAGGTAAATTCTACAAAACAGTTATTAGACCATCAATTCTCTATGATACCCCAGGTTTTTTGCCATTAATTTATGTTTCTAACTGCAAGTTTTTGTGTTTGGGTGGGTGGGGAACACATTTAGCTGGGTACTATTGTCTTTTCTCTTAGTCATAGTTTTATTTTATATGCGGCAGCCTTACACTAGCCCACGGAGGCTGGGAAGTAAACTCCTGCTTTACAACTGTATTTACACCAGGTTTTCACGATTGCGATTGTTTCATTGATTTTTAGCGAAGCATTGCGCCATCAATACATATGTGAGTCCTAATTTCCTGTTTTTGTTTTTAACTTTTTCATGGCAGGTGACAGAAGAATGCTTGTATAAAGGCATTTCTGTTTGTAAAGATGGAACTCTTTTTAGGAAAATTGGGAAGAGGATCAGGTACTTGTATCATCTCAACTTTACATTTATCTGGGAGAGAACTGCATTTCTATCAATATCCAATGATGGGAATTGCATAAAAAACTGGTGCCTGTCAAAGTATTACAAAATAAGGCAACCTTTTACCAACTTATTCAGATATCATCCGCTTGTATGCTACGATATTTAGGCACTTGAGGCTCTGTTTCATCTAACATTCCTGTTGTGAAGTATTTTGAGTCTGGACCAATGGTCCATCTTTTTGTAAGTTTTCATGTTGTTGATAATTTTTATTTGGTTAAATCATTCTTTGGATTTTATAAACCATCTGTGCATCTGTCCTTTTTCTGCAGATTCATTTTCTAGTCATGTTGTTGCACTTGGTCTGGTATATATGTACTATGATATACATGGCTGTATACATGAATGATATTGTTGTTGGTTATTATTATACATATATGATATTGATATTATAAGCATATTTCAATTTTCTATCTTTTTAAAGTTTTATGATGAAAACATACACGAAGGACGGATCTTGAATTAACAAATTGGTGGAACACATGCGGTAAAACTATTTCTGTCATCCTCCATTTTTCTCGTCTATGTTTTCACTTATTTCAATTTCAAAACCAGTCAGGTTTCTTTAATTTGTCAAGAGTTTCTTTTTTCTTTTCCTTAAATAAATAACATTATGAAAATATGCCCATATACCTGCAAAGGGCAGTTGTATAACTATTCTTAGAAAAATGACAGAGAACTAAAACTGAGTAAAAATTGGTGCAATGCATTATAATGCAATATTATTCATACGTCTGATGGTGTAAATAGTAGCTTTATCTCTGTTTGAACAAACATTGCATTGTGATTTTGACAAAGCACGGTCCCTATCACTTTTTTTTTTGCTGAAATATTTGTTATTTAAACAACCTGGCCGAGAAATTAAGGTTGGGAGTCAACTACGCCTCGCAGATGTGGAAAAGGTTTAGGAGGGAGGTGATTATGATCAGAAAAACAACTCATGGCATGTACAAGCAACGATACAGAACCGTGTCTTGTAATTTATATTCAAGAAACTGGTTTCCTATTCTATGATTGTATGATGACCTGGGCAGTTCAAAAAATATGGATAGATAATGCAAAATATGGTCTTTGATTTGCAAATTTTTTCTATCGGAATACATGCCATTTCTATGGTTATGTTCCATTCTAAGATCACGTGACAACTACTTGGTTGGAAACTTGGAATGATATGGTGAAATAATGCAAAATATGTTCTTTTAGCTGCAAAACTATTCTCTAGCAATGTATACCATGTTGGTGTTTTTCATGAACTTTATGTAGTCAAACCTCGCTTGTTTATTTTCTCAGTGAACATGCTGAAAAATTTGGTTACGGCGTGGTGGATCGTTTTGTTGGTCATGGCATTGGGACTGTATTTCATTCTGAACCTCTTATATTTCACCACCGTAAGTAACTTCTCTTTCAGAAATGCTCATTTACTAAGTGTTAAAGCTATATATATATAGGCCATATTTAACTGAGATTGTTTGAGATTCAGAAATTGGTACCTATTATTTGTATGTTTTCCTTTTTTTACATTATGGCAATTATGCCCAATTCTGCCCCAGGTTTGCTAATTAGCATACCTTGTCGCCCTTTTGGAACATGTTCCCTTTCCCAAGCCAACTACACAACATTCTCTAAATATGCTTCTCAATCATGCAAAATGTATACTCCCACTGGGATTGAATGACCTCATTTCCATTTTGAGTACTATAAGAATAATGCTTTTCCCAGAATTACGACACTTGAAGATTTATCAGCTAAGGGTAAAATTTAGAACCATGTACCCTCTTATTCTCCTGTAAAACTTCATGCCGGCGTTAGTTGGGTGGTTCAATCAAAACAGATATTAAACAAGAAATGCTTAGTTATTATGATACTTTTGGCATCTCTTCAAAGAGAATTTCTAGGTTGTCAAAACTTTAAATATATTAAATACTATATGCTTGCAATCATGTTATATTTTTATTATCAAGGACACATTTATAACATTTGTGCATTTTGTCTTTTATCAGTTATTATGTAGTCCTCTAACTTGAATTTATTTTGATAGGAAATGACAAGGCTGGTCATATGGTTGAAGGGCAAACATTTACCATTGGTGAGTGTCATGCATTTGACTTATAAATATCAAATAGGTTTCTCAATTGAGAGAACCTGTGACTGCTTGTTTCGTCACACTTATTTTTTAACATTGAAACATAGCAAAATAATGACTTACTGAAAACTGAGAAACTTGCATTGCCTGAGAGAAGTTGAAGTTTGTTGTGATGTAGATATCTTTAATTTTTACTTAGAAATTTGTATACACCTTTGTTTGAGCAAATTGAAAAGGAAAAGTTTAAACTTCTGCGTGTCTAATTAATTTGTCCACCCTTTCACTGGATTGTTTTCTTCTAACTGATCACTTTATTATGTTCATATGTGAGGAAATTCTGTATCGGGTTGTGGTCATTAAAAAGCAGCACTGCTTTTCGTAGGATGACAAATTCCTTTGCAGAACTTCTTTACTGAAGTTACACTTTTATTAAGGTTCCACATTTTCAACAAAAAGTAGGGGTAGGAGTAAAACTTTTTATGACAAAATGTTTCCAAAGATGTATAGACATTTCCATAGATGTATAGTTCTTTAATGGTGCGCGCACACATCCAGAACTATAATTTGAAATTTCTGTCATATTCGTTTGTAATCTTTTGCTCTGTTTTCCTGAAGAACAAAATTGGTGGAAACGAAATCCACTCTCCTTGCTCTCAGACACCAGTTGTCTGAATAGATTTCTTAAAATTTGTTGACAGTATTCTAAGAAGTTGAGTTTCAATCTTTTGTTCCAGAACCAATTCTTACCTTGGGAAGCACGGAATGCATTACATGGGAGGACAATTGGACAACTTTAACAGCCGATGGCAGCCCAGCTGCACAGTTCGAGCATACAATTTTAATCACAAAAACTGGGGCTGAAATTTTAACGACATATTGAAGAAATCGATTCATATTCTTCCCGTCTCTTTGGAATGTACATTGTGATGGTTGCCTTTTTCACTTTGGAATTCTTCTCCAGAACTATTCCAGATGAACGGTATGTTTTCAAAGAGACAAGTGGCATCTATGATGGCGCCTTGTGGATGTTCCCTGCTCACAAGAGAAATGCAGTTATTATGGTTTTGCTGTGTTACCGTATTTGTAATATGTTATAACTACAAAAACTGTTCTGTAAGGTAGCATTCTGTAACATTTTTCGCCCCACAAAATAGTGTACCAGCTGCTATGTAAGCAATGCAAAAGAAAGTTGTTCGAATTAACGTTGTATAAAGTTGCTTTGTTGTGCTTTCAACTGTAACTTTCTGTCATTACCAAATGCTCCTATTTGACTAAAGCATCGACAGACTTAAACAGGAGACACGTAAAATGTTTGCTCTTGTTTCTCTTAGAAGTGGCACAAACTGACAAATTTGGGTGGTTGAGACTTTGAAAACAGAAGAAGAAAAGACTTTAAATTAGATTCCATGGAGGAAAACAAAAGGAAGAGGAAAGACCTGAGTTTCCTTCCTGCACCCACGTCGTCAACTTAATATAATTCTTGGAGCTCAGGACTGTGAGTCATTTTTTATTAATTTGAGTACAGGTAGGTGGCAATGAACCAGCTGCTTATTTAACCTGTTTGATTGAATTCACTTATTTTAATACATAATTACTTACTTTGATGTCACAAGCAATGTAATTGAGTAATAATTGTTAAAAGTGGCTTATAATTTGTGCCTAGAGAATATGGAGATCAGTGATATTAACACCTATGTTATAGTCAACTTTCACTTTTTTAAGCTTTTCATTTTTACTTCACACAAGTCCCTATTTGGTCTTCATTTTTAATTTCACATTCCATGATATTTATAATTTTTATCAACTTTTCAACTATAAATTTCAAGAACTTTTATTAAATCTACTAAAGACGTAATTTTTAGCTAAACCAAGCTGAAGCTAAATTTCATTTTTATTTCAATTATGTCATCATTCGTCCATCTCCCACTTGTGTCAACCATAAGATCACCTAACAAAAGATGGTTCATTATGTTCAAATACGACATACTTTTCCCAGACATGAACACATTCTTAATTTGAGTCGTAATAGAACTTTTAATATAGTAGATATTTAATTCGTTAGAGCAATAAAATATTCTACGTTCGAGATTCAAATCTAGTCAAGATAATCTTAACAATTCCAAAATAATTTTTATATTGCCATAGACGTTTCTTGGAAATTGGCTCCCCATAAAAATATTAGAAGCATATGGGCAATTAACATGTGAAATAAAAAAAAAAAAAAAATTCTCACAGACACACCTACCAACCATATCAAATTGATATGCATGTTTTGCCACCAAAAAAATATAAATATTATTATGTAGAACGATTCGTGTTAAAATATTAGTTTGTCTATCATATAGATGTAGGGATGATAAAATTCTCCACCCGAACATGTCCAGTATTGCCCTATCTTGAATTCTCTAACCTCGTCTCAAATCCTTTTATTTTATTTTTATCCCTTTCAATTTAATTCATATTTAAAAAAAAATAATAATAAATAATTAAATCGGACAGCAAAAAAAATTTTTAAATCCCCCCTACGTCCCGAAAACTCGACTGAACAGAGAGGATAATTGTTATCCTACCTCCGCTCACTCACGCTGGATGACATAACACATCAACTCAAAGATGAATAAAAAATTTAATTTAAATATTGAAAAATATCATAAATTTATTCAATGTGTATATATATATACATGTTTGCCACTCAAAATATACAACCTGTATTCGTCTTTGATCTGTTGTGGGCTTGTGGCATTCGAATTTCTCAAACTCTCCACTAATGGCGACATATGGAAACTCTGTAGTCAAACCAATCATTTCGTCAAAACTGTTTGACAATAGAGTCACCTCTTCTTTCAAATCAGGTGGAAATGTCCATTTTTTGAAGTCAGTTTCTTCCCAGAATCTCAAGATTTCGACAGATTATCAGTACTTCTCCACCAGATCTGGAAGCATCAGTACCAAAGCATTCTTCTGGGAGATTTTCAAACCAAAGCCTGATTCTTCGAGATCAAGTAAGCAATCTATTTTTTTTTACATTGAATGACTGAATCTATGTTCGACTAATCTTAAAATACAAATAACTTTCACTTGATTTTTCAGCTAAGGTTCAAGAATTGTATGTCTACGAGATAAACGAGCGTGATCGTGGCAGCCCGGCGTACCTGAAACTGAGCCAGCAGAAAGACGTAAACGCTCTCGGCGACCTGGTGCCATTCTCTAACAAGCTCTACTCCGGCGACCTCCAGAAACGGCTGGGCATCACGGCGGGTTTATGTATACTAATCCAACACGTGGCTGAGAAAAAGGGTGATAGATATGAGGCCGTATTCAGTTTTTACTTTGGAGATTATGGGCATATTTCGGTGCAGGGTCCGTATTTGACCTACGAGGATACGTTCATGGCCGTGACTGGTGGCTCCGGCGTGTTTGATGGGGTGTATGGGAAGGTAAAATTGCAGCAGATTGTGTTCCCATTTAAGTTGTTTTATACGTTTTATTTACAGGGCATCAAGGATTTGCCAGCTGAGCTGGTGGTTAATCCGGTGGCCCCGACACCGGCAGCTGAGCCGTCGGCAGCTGCTAAGGCGGCTGAGCCTGGTGCCGCTGTTTCTAACTTCACGAATTGAGAATATGTGGAGTAATCAAACTCATTCATCCATCATTAGCATGTTCAAATATTTATTTCTTAACTATGAATGTATGAATTGGTACTTTGATGAAAATTTTATGCAATTCATGATGTTTCAATAATTTCCAGCTCATGGATGTTTCTCTAATGCTTAAGAGTATTGGAAGTGGTTAATTAGGAGAAGAACTAAATCATTATTTCTTCTTAAACTTCTAATTGATTTAGTATATATTTTTCATATGAGATGTGGGATAAAAAATTTGAGACTCCTATAAAATACGTGGTTAAAAGTAATTATTAACTTTAATTTTGGGTTTATTTGACATGACTTTTGAAAAGCCAAAAGTTATTTTTGCACCCGTTTGTCTAATTTTACAAAAGTGTTTCTTCTAACTAGAAAAACTTTTAAAAGGAAGTTGGTTCAAACTGACTTTCTCTAAAAGTACTAATGAAATAAAAAGTTAGCCCTTTTTTGAGTCGCATTAAAATTTATATTCTCATTTTCAACCACACATTTTCCATCAATCTATCCAAAATACGTTCTTTCAAATTAATGTGGTTCACATACACCCTTATTTTATAAATCATTTTCAAATAAAAATTAAAGTAATTTTCTCAAAAAACTTTTCTACGAAGGGTAAAAGTCATGTAAATGGATCTTTAAATTTTGGGTTTATCCGGATGTATCGAAGGGGGGGGGGCCCCTTCCCCCAAATGCGGCGGGTCCCATGTTTTAAAAAAAATGTGGCTCGTGGTCCCCACTCCCAAATGAAACTATCGGTAGTCATTTTACGTGGTATACATGCGGCTCGTGGTCCCCACTTCCAAATGTGAGTGGGGTGTAAAAGATTAGGTAAAAAATTATGTACATGTAGTATAACCCTTAAATTTTTATCAACTTATTTAACTCAATCAAAGCTAAATTTTTAAAGCATTTTAGTAGGAAAAAGCTAAGTTGGAGTGGATCATTTCCTTGCAAAGCCCAACTCAAGAAAAAAATGTTCCGTTATGTCCATTTGTTTACAAAATGTGTCCCTCCAAAATACTCTTAAAAGAAAAGCGTTTCTTCCATCTCTGAGAGCCTGAACTATTGGACCAAACAGGCCCACCAGCAAAGTCGAGCTAGCCCGTTATCTGTGCCATTCCTAGCCTGGGCCTGTTACTGGTCCGGGCTTTTACAAAATCGGATATGCCCACTTAATTTGACACCGGTGAGAGTACGTTTCGGAAGTGTTTATAAACAGTTAAAACTTGAAAACAAGTGATGAAAAATGGTTAGTATTTGTAAATCCTGTGTGTTAATAAAGTGCGATTTGACGAAAAGTGTTTACAAACACTCCGAAACATACCATAAAATACATTTCATTTTCCTAAGTGGCAGTATAATTAGACAATTATTTAGTGCCCGTTTGATTCACCCAAATTTTCCATGGAAAATGGAAAACAAATTTCAACTTCCACTCTTGCCTTGTTTGATATACTTTTTTTTTTCCAATGGAATTCATTTTCTGGTTTGGCTCACATAGTCACCTTTTCTTTGGTTTTGTGGAAAACAAATTTCCACCAAGTTGGTGGAAATTGATTTTCGAGCTTTTTTTTTTTGGCAGTTCAAAAAAATTATAGACACAACGGTAAAAAAATTTATCACTTTTATTGACAATTTACATACAAAATAAAGCAAAACGAATGGTATTAGGTATGTTAATTGTTTTTTTTTTTTTGGCAATTGGAACAAATTCTAGACCCCAATGGTAAAAATAAATTATCACTTTAATAGAGAATTTCCATGAAAAATCAAGCCAAACGGACACCAAACTTTCAACATTTTCCAGGTGGAAAATTATACAAATCAAATATAATTAATTATAATTTCCAGTAAAATAAATTCTAGATAATTCAATTTCCTATAATTTATTTTTTTCCACCCAAATTTCACCTTTGTAATCAAACTGTTCCTTAGAGATTGTCTTTGAGATTGGAAAAAAGAAAAGAAAAACTAACAAGAGTACTAATTATAGATCATAAAGACTTAAATGAACCCAGAATAGAGCAATGGAAAAAAGAAAACAAAGGCTGAGAATGAGAAGGTTCAAATTCAACGCCCCGATAAGCCATCCGATTGTTACCTTGTAACGTATTGGCCCTATTTTCCTAAGCTTCAAAGGAAGAAACAACAGTGGAGTGCGTGCACTATGTCTTAAATAACTAAAGTAGCACTTAGGTTAGGTAGTGATTGATGTTCGATTGGGCCGTGCCTTGTGATTCCACGTGTCAGTGCTTGACAAAGACAAGAAGAATAGTGGTAGCGTGGTGGAATCCGGAGCCATTACCCGATCAACCTGGCTGGCCTCTCAATTCCGAGTGTTCTTCCCATTGATTCTACCTTGTTACGACTTCACCGCGGATTCCTCTTCTCGTTCTTGGCTCATGGCATGTCAAAGTCACGAGCTGTGGGTCTTTGATCCCGATNACTACATTGCATTGCCAAAATCCATATTGTATATTTGAACGGGGTTGACCTCCTTGCTTCTCTCATTTACACATTGAGCCTCTTTTCTCTTCTCTCCACATGGACAAAATATAGGATTGGTGCCAACGGTTAATCAAGGTTTGACACTCTTTGGAACTATCGCCGAAGAAGGAAGGGCTTTGTGAGGTAGCAAAGTGAGGTCACCCTAAGATCCTTCTTTATTCACTACTCCGCTCACTTAAAGACACGATTAGTATTGACTAGTTTACTTGATTGATTGCTTGACAAAGTAGTCGGCAGGCAGATGCTGCTTACTATGGATTTCAAAATATCTTGTAATTTTTATCTTTTATGCCAGGGAATAAGTACACTGGGGCAGGAATGCTTTTTTACATGTATGCGGATTACTCGGTCGATTACCTAATTGCACTAGTCTCATAACCATCTCTTTAGCATCCATCCATCTATTCCTTCTTTTTTCTTCTTGCTAGCACAACTTAGTTTGCTAACGAAAGTGAAAAATTTCGACTTATTTGGAGAATAGAGTTAATTAAAGAAAAGAAATACGTGCCAGCCATCTTTGTTCGATATCCAAAGTTCGTGTCACTTATCTTGCAGCTTCTGCCCAAAACACAGCTTGCATTATTTTATTAGGTTGAGTACAGACATCGTTCATTTAATAATTTGTCTATCTATAATATAGATCCACATAGGAGCCTGCCAATGAACCTGCAGCTTCTTATTAATTATTCTCTCTTTCATTTTCAGCATACACAGAATTGACTTATTTTACCCATTCATCTTTCAAATGACTGTGCATGCAGCAATGCCAAGTTCTCATGAAAATTTAATGAGCTCCAATTAATTTCCAGTTCGTGGATGATGCTTAGATAATAAAGGTATTAATAGCATTGATTAATTAGGAGAATACAATTTTTGTTCTTGAATAAAAGATAGTTTCTCCATGATTTGGGATGTAATTTTTATCGATCTAATTAGTTATCACTATATTCAAAATTATTGTCCACGATCATCCATATTCTCGATTAGATGTAATCTTCTAACGAAATGTCCGCGGTCATTTTCATCAAAAATGAAGTTCTTCAAAAGACTATACTCTTATTTCAATCATCACAATCGCATGGCTAGAAGTCGTCATGAAATAAGAGTGTTCAAGTAGTTATTGAATTTACAAAGTAAACATTCACTTGATACTTGTCTTACATCTTAGAGTTTATCTTTTAGGGATTTCAATAAAGTTATAGGGTTCAAATGGTGAGTGGTGTAAACTTTGAGTAAATTATATTATTAGACACTCATCTTTGTGTCATGTTACTAATCCATCACTAGATGACTTCAGTATCTTTGCCTTGACGAAGATAACTGAATTCTAAAATGACGTCATTCTTTTGGATGGTCTTAGACCTTCTCAACCTTAAAAGCTAGCTCAAGAGGTGATGTTTTCTCTCACACTTATAAAATGATCACTAGCTCCTTCCATAATTAATGTGGGATAACCTCAACAATCTTCCCCTCACACATCAGGCCCTGGGTGGGAGCAAACCCGTATCTCTCGTGGACTATTAGGTCGAGACTTATTGATAACCTGAGCTCTAATATGAGTGTTGAGAGATCTTGGACTTTCTCAACCTTAAAAGCTAATTCAAAAGGTGATGCTTTCCCTCACATTTATAAACTGACCATCAATATTTTTCCCAATCGATTTGGGATAACTTCAACACATTCCCCGTGAAATTCAAACAAAACGTCACTCTCTACTCAACAAATCAAAAAGATAAGAAAATTATATTCTACTTGTACATATCTTATGATGAAATTTATGCTTATCTTTCGCTGGAGCCAAAGAGCACCATAATGTTGGGGGAATAACAAAAAATTATCTACTGCGTATAAATAGAACGCACTACAACAATTAAAAGTACATTCGATAAAACTAAATTTAATTATTTTTACAAATAACCCAAACACATCTAACGACACAACTACGTGAAACGTACAAAGTGACGAGACTACCAACTACTTCCCCTTCACAATCACGATTTTGGCTCTTGCGAAAATAAAGTCAATTTGTATTGTCCTAACCCCACCACCCCACCCCCATCTCACATATATTGAGGCCCCATTCCATCAGAATGAAATTTTCTATTATTGTGATCAGGCTCAGGCATGACTTGATGTCTTGACTATTGAGCTGTGTTTGTTTATAATATTACTTATTGCCCCCAAAAGCCACTCCTTTTTCCATATAGGAATTCTTCCATTTTATAATATGTCCAAAGGGGAGAATCTTAGGGCAAAACTGGCTAATCTAGTGCAGTCAAACGAACAGAATTCTTAAGGATCAAAACTTGCAAATTTTCAAATTTGTTGGGTTGGATCCGAGGCAATCCTTTTTATCTTTAAGAAAACAAGCTAATACGTGCACTTCTTTTGTTCTTTTACTGAGAGATGCTAATACTTCTCATAATGACTAACGATCATTTCTATATAATGTAGAACATTCCCTCGTGTATGATAAATCTTTAATTTTTTGTTAGATTCATAGCGATTTAATATGCAATTTATATTAGAGCATGTAAGATTAAGAGTTTGATGAATTACATTAATATTTTGATCAGTATAAAATTGATCGTCAAATATTGGAAAGTCTCATGACATTGATTGAATTAAAAGTATGTTTAATTGACATGGAAAATATATCCTAGAAAATAAAATATTTTTTTTGAATTTTGAGGAAAACAAAAACTTATTACCCCCAAAGAAAATATTTTCCTTAAAAATAAGGAAATTTAGGTATATTTTTAAAAGTTGGAAAATATTTGTTTGTAATGTCGATGATTAATATGTCATCAAAGTTACCATCTTTCTTGACCTTTCCACACTATGAATCCAACTAACAAAATCTTGTGTATCTTTTTCTTCTTGTTTGTAAGAATTCTATTTATTCATCTATTTCCAGCCTAAAATAGTTTGTGAAGATACATGTAATTTAAAAATCTCAACTGCCCTTTTTCTTTACCTTTTTCCATTTTTGAGACACAAAAGATTTGCTACAAAATTTACTTTAAGGTACTTGAAAAGGCAATGAAATTGCATATTCAGAACCTAAAATTGAACATCCATCAAGAAAACTGGAATACAAGATATTGCTGGATGTGAGTGATTATTAGCTTGGTGTTAATCACTCAAAGAAAAAGGAAACAAAAGGCATAATTGTGATGCTTGCATGAATGCCCAAATCAATGCATTGGCAGCACACACACATATAAATGTGTCTGTGTGTGAGTATTATAGAGTCATAGACAGAGAATTGAAATGAGGGATGAAAACAAAAGGAAAAGATAAAAAACCGAGCCAAAAAGGCCTTGATATGATGTTGATACTGTGCAGTGTGTAAGCAAAGGGCAAAACCATGCGCATTATTAGGGTTAAAGAAGGTAAGAACAGGCACTCTGAAACATAATATGTTGTATCTGTTTGTTGTTGGTCTGAAAAGGTAAAAGGTAATCCTTTGGGTGGAACCCCAAAAACAGAAACTTCCAGTGGTCCATTGTTACCTTCTGACAAAGTCCTTCATCAAAGTGTTAGTAGTTCTAGTCTAACATCAGAGAAAGACTCACTCTCACTCACACTCTTCTCTCCTAGACATACTAGGTGCGTGAGAGAGACTCAAAGAAATCTATTGCAAAATGTAAAGCTGATGAACAGTAGATCCTGAACCTGTAGTACACTGCAAACATGTCTGCTCATCTGCTATTTGTTTGCAGTAGGCTGAATTTACTTGACCATCGTATGCATCTGCTCATCTGCTATTTCTATGTCTATCTCTATCTGAATATTTAATTAAGCTCGGTCGGGTGTAAATTAAAATCAAATTTTTTAATAAATTTTGATAAAAATCGATAAAATACTTAGTTGAAAAGTTGCAACTTGTATGAAATGTGTATTAAAATTCACTTTAACTTAACTCCACCAAACGGGCTAAATTTAAAAGGAGACTTTAATCGGAATCATTAGATAGTAATTAAACTGGCACTTGGAATATTACTGCATAGAACCATGGCTTTCACTATAGTATTTGTCTTCTTCCATTGTCTCTCTCTCAGAAACATACACAAAAAGCCAAACAGTTACTAATAAATCCAAGCTGTAAATTGAAAACAAAGGGTTAATTTTTTCACATGCTTGAATTTCAATTCAAACCTGCAGGACCATGTCCTCCATTTCTATATTCTTCATCATTATCCTCTTCTTCCTCTTCTTCTTCACCCTCGTGAATATAGGAGTAGAGGTTTTCACTATGTGGTGCATGGCCATCTCCAAATGAACGGACGTGATCTTTGAGTGATCTTTTGTGTTTGAAATCAGAACCACAGATGCAAAACCACAGCTTCCCACAATTCTTCTCATGAGTCCTCCAATCCCCCCGGACGGCGAATGGTTTCCTGCATTTTCGGCATCCAAAAGGCTTCGAACCGTGCTTTCGTTTGTAGTGTGTTTGGAGTGTCCTAAAATCCTTCAGTGGCTTTGATCTTGGGTGTTCTATGTTGTTCTTGCAACCCTCAGCACAGCAATAGCAAGGCATTCTCAGTATAGAGGAGGCTGCTCTTGTTCCTCTTAGTGATTCCGGGCCCTTTCTGTATTCTGATCCGTGCCCCCACATATGCATCTGAGACAAAATTTAGGAAAATATGAAGAAAATTAGGAGAATCTGAAAACAATTTATTGTGTCAGTTTATATGAAAAAAAAAAACAAAAAAAACCAATAGCTAGTCCTCTGAAACTCGAATTGCATAGCCATTGTCTGGAGATCGTCCCCCAGGATTTACCAACAATCATTTTGGGTATGATGATACCTAACTAACCTTAATTCTGTATGGCACATTTCTTAGGTGAATTGAACAACACAAAACTGAGACTGAAGAAGAAAATGAAATTCAAATTTATTCGTCACCCTATGGCAGTCTACTATTGCTTATCAAACGTGTTTATATATAATGTCTAAGACATGAAGGGCATACTCAATTAACTTGAATGTAGCAAACCTCAGCAGTTAATCAGTGACTAGTAAATTATTTATAGTTGTTTCGACTAAAAGTCAAAAGGTAGTATATTAATTCAATTTTTTCTGCATATCTATCTAACGACATTTTTGTAAGTAGATGAAGTAAAACAAAAAGATTAAGAAATTAAAGTGAAGATATGCATATTTGGAGAAAAACATGTGGTTACCCTAATTTTTCCACAAAAATCAGTTTTATCGCTTCCACATTATATGTAGTTTAAACTTGAGAGCACACAAATTAACAAGTCAGATTTATGAACTAAAATGTCAGAAATTAAGCATAAAAGACATTATGAACTAAAAGGGAAAAACGCAGCATGAACTACAATGTCAGAAATGAACTAAATCAAGAACCTGCATGTTGTTATATCTGTTGAAAGTCTTTTGGCAGACAGAGCAAGAAAACTGGGTCGGGCCAACAAGGATTTGGGATGGTGTGGGAATCCAATACTGCCCTTCAGTAGGTCTCCCCATTTCAGTAGGGTTTCCAGAAGAAGTGGCTCCTGAATTACTATTAGGTGGACCAATATGAAGAGCCACTGTTACTCCAATTTCATTTCTGGGGCTTTGGAAATTCTGGGTCTGGTTGTAGTCTTGGCATATGTTGTGGTACTTTTGGCCAGGAGGGCCAAGTGAAAGTAGGGTTGAATCATCATCTTCTTCGTCACAGAAACTCTCACTAGAAGATATAATGTATGGAGAGGAAGAATGACTTTGCATGGCGATATAGTTTATGATTTTGGGATGGCAAAACTTTAATGTTTAGGTTTTGGGGGAGAAAAGTTTGAGGCAGTCGACAGACAATAAATAAACCAATATGAAAGAGAGAGAGAGAGTGAGAGAGAGAGTGTGTGTGTTTGGATAGGAAGGAGACAAGGGATATGCAAAGGATGACGGGGGAAGGTGGAGGGGAGAAATATGCATAGGATGGTGTACCAACAATACAACCACTCGCCTTACAAATCACAATTTCTCATTTTCCCAAACTAACCCTAATTTAGCCCTTGTCATTTCCCCCTCTCTAGGGAAAAATGTATTATAGAGAAATTGCAACTGGATCCTCAATCTTTTTGATTATATTAACTTGTCCCAACATATATTAAAATGGATCGAACAAATATATAAGAGCAAATATCAAAGAGTCTTGAGATTTTTGACAAATACAAATACAAATTTACCTGAAATTTTATCATAAGATTTGTTAAAGAATTTAATAATAGATTATTTAAAGGTTTTATAACTGATTATGTAATGTTATACATGATTTAAATGTTAATAAAAGCAAATTTACCAATAATATTGTATATCTTTAAATCCATAAACTAAAACATGTTAAATATGAACATTTGTTTAAAATTGAAATGAAATTTAGTTCAAAATAATATACATTAATTCACTAAAACATTATTATACACTCTCAACTAAAATGTTAAGTAACAGAATACCATAATATCCCTTTTAAGCTAATCCCATTAAAATTTGGAGAAAATATTATTCAATTACAAAATGTTATAATATCTCTTTGGATAATTTGATAATTAATTTTACTCATAAATTACTTTTTATTGAAAACAATATCGTATATATGTATATAGTGTTTATAGTCAAAAAATTCAGGTACCCCTTTACACATGATGATATGTCATCCTCGTGATCTAGACTGTAACATCTCCCAACTTTATATATGCAACAAATATGCAACTATCATCATTTCCTTTAATAACCAAAGTGGGAGGGGGAGGCAGAGGGAGAGGGAGAGCATTTATGTATATGTATATGTATATGTGTATATATATAT